GGGGGGGGGGGCGTTCCGAAGATCCCTTCGAAAGGTTTGTGCGTCTCCTTAGATCGTACTTAATCGTATTTGCCCTTCCCTTTGGGCGCGCCTTCGTTCCAGGCCACGTAAACAAACAAGGCCAGGACCACGTGCACAGCCAGCACGGCGACGATGGCGGCGTAGAAGTAGCTGTCCGAGCTTGACATCTTCATTGAGCCTGAGAAGAAAACACAGAAGAGATGGATGCATGCGGAATGTGGAAGACAATTTTTATTACAGTTGCGACGTGTGCAAGAATTCTGTACAGATTGAGAATGATTCTCTCCAATTGGTTTGGATTGGGGGCGGCCCGGGGATGGAGTGATGAGCGCGTCGACCTCACAGTGCAGAGGCCGTGGGTTCGATCCCGGCTCCGGCCTCCCTGTGTGGAGTTTGCATGTTATCCGCGTGCCTGCGTGGGTTTTCTCCGGGTACTCCGGTTTCCTCCCACATTCCAAAAACATGCACGGCAGGTTAATGGAACACTCTAAATTGTTCCTCGGTGTGACTGTGAGCGCGGATGGTTGTTCGTCTGTGTGTGCCCTGCGATTGGCTGGCAACCGGTTCAGGGTGTCCCGCGCCTACTGCCTGAAGACAGCTGGGAAAGGCTTCAGCATGCCCCTTGACCCTTGTGAGGATAAAGCAGATCAGAAAATGGATGGATGGATGGTTTGGATTGGGAAACATTTTCCAAATAGGAATTAACAGTTTGATGTTGCTATGTATCGTTCAAACATGACCCCTAAAACTTTGGATTGCAGCTTTATTTCTTCGTCTATGTATGCATTCTGAAGCATGTAAATCTGCATTATTTTCAGGTATTGTTATTGTCAGGAAAATTCGATATCTATCCCTCTGTACTTCCAAAATTCTATCATACACTACTCACAAAAAGGATATTTGGCTTTCAGGTGGAATTTCAGGAAAAGCCCAAAATGCATTCAAACCTTTATAGGTTAACTAAATGTGACCTTCTCTAAGCTTTTGAATGCACATGTCCAAATGTTTCAGTACTTTTTGCACGAGTTGCTGTTATCCAACGAGGAGCTTCGCGGCAAAATTCACAACAGATGTTTGATACTTAAACCGACCAATAAATGTCTGGTATGGGTCAATTAGAGCCGGTGTTTAAACAGTCGTCCTCATAATGCTGTTTACATTTTGACATGATGAGACCTAGACGACACGTAGTAATAGATCAACAGTATCTTGGCATTGTGATGCTTAAAACAGGACATTTTCAGACGGAAGTGGCCGCTGAGCTTGGAGTGTCACAGCATGTCATCAGCCAACGATGTGGGAGACGTCAAGGAGAGCGCCATGTATCAGCCACTGTTGTCACCAGACGAGCTTTTGGTGGTGGCGGTGTTACGGTGTGTGCAGGTGGTTCCAGTTGGTACAGAATTGCCCTTTACTTTGTGACAAGACCATACTACCCGAATAACATTATTAATCCAAGGATTGTGCCCCGATATGAACAACACAAGCCTAATTCCATCTTCATGGACGACGATGCTCCAGCTCATTGAGGTCGCCTGATCAAGGAACGGCTGTTGGAGACTGATGCGCCTCCAATGGAATGGCCTGCACTTTGTCCTATTGAAAACCTGGGGGATCAGCTGAGTTGCCGTGTCGAGGCTCGAAACACTGCACCCCATAACCTCAGTGACCTAAGGGCTGGCCTTCAAGAAGAGTGGGATGCCAGGCCTCAGCAGACAAGAAATAAGTCGACTTGTGAACAGCATGAGACATGGTCGCCAAGGTGCAATTGATGCTCAAGTGTCATTGAGACGTCGAAATTTTTTGCTGTGGTGTACCCACCATTATTGTTAACTTTTCTTTTTATGAATTGTTTGAAATGAGGAAATCATCTGTGCATCCTTCAACTTAAATGTGCTAATTTAATAAATGATATGATATCACCGGAGCAGGAACTTTTGACATTTTCCATAAATTTCACCTTCAAGGCAAATATCCCTAACTTTTTGTGAGTTGTGTATCTAGTGTTGTTGTTAGTGCTCCAGCGAAGGTCCGGGGGTCCCGTCCCTGTGCGTTGAGCCGACCAGATGAACCAGGTTTTTCCAGTGCCGGCGGTCTTGTGCCAGCTGTTCTGCATCCTCCACAGCGACTCCTTGTTGTTGGAGGTCGCCCGCAACGACGTCGAGCCATCGAGTGCGGGGCTTCCCTCGTGGTCGTCTCCAGCCTGCGGCCTTTGGGTCGAACTGAAGAATGGCTCGTGTCGGATGGTCTGGTGGTAGGCGAAGGACATGGCCGAACCAGCGGGTGCGGCGTTGTGCGACCAAGGAAGATGCTCGGGGCTGGCACGTGCGGGCTCTGAGCTCTTCATTGGAGACTCGCTGGGGCCACCTGATGTTCTCGATGGTTC